ATCAAAAGGAAAAGATGATCAATTTGAAATTCGTTGTAAAATGTATTCTGAAACCGGTCATTCTTTGGATTCAATTGAAGCTGAAGTTGGAAGTATTGATGCTATTGGTAAATTTTTGAAAGATAAAATTGGATTGTAAATGTTGTAAAATATAAATTATAAATATAAAAAAGGATTTTGTTTTTTGTCGCACTGGCATGGGGTAGTTTTATTGAGCGATCCATAAAAATTCAAAGTGTTTAGTTAATTTTAGGGTTAAGGGCAATATTAGTCACCCCGTGTCATGTATCAATTTTATTATAAAGCATGTATTCACAAATAAACTATTAACAATGTTCATAAATTTAGTAAATTCCGATTGCCTTAAAGAAATTTTCGCTTACTTGGCAGAATCGGCAAAACCTGATAATAGAAACTCTTCACTCTTGTATTTTAATAAATCCACGTTGGTGTAAATTGGTTGTTTCGATATTATAGCGAGTTTCGTTTTCCAAAATTACTAGTTCACTCGAGGAAACTGAAATTATTTAAACGTATGTGATGTGTTAAAAAAAAAACCAAATTTTGATTGATTTATTTGATTTAAACAATAACAACAACAATATTCTTGAAGAAACTTTGGATTATGATAACCTCTTTTTAATTGTCTAAGGTATCTTCAATTATTAAATTGTCATTCTTTGATAATTTATTACACATTGGTGTCAACGAAGAATTAAAAATTCGCGACAGAGAAATTTTAAAAATATGGATAAAATTATTGGAAATTATTTTATTGAGTAATTTTATGGGAATTATAAAAATACCAATGAAGCATTTCAAAGATAATAAGATTTGTTTAACTCGTTTGTTGATTGATGACAATGAGACAAGGAAAATAATGAGATGAAAGGTGAAGGAGAAGAAAAATCAGTGGAAGGAGAAATGAAGTAGAAAATGAATTATTGAATTCGATAGAAGAAAAAGAATTGCTGGTCCTGCATGTAAAAAGACAAAAGAAGAATGGAAACAAGAAGAAAATTAG